GACTTTATCTCCAGCGTCTGTCACCGTGGAGACAGCTGCTCACATCAGCACCAGCCCAGGGGAATCCAAATCTCCACCAGGTGAAAATGAAGGAAGAGAAAATAGAGAAACCAAAAAAGCAGAGCATCTCTTCTCCAGTTCCCTTCACTGTCAGACCCAGACAATCAAAAGAAGACAGGGAGGATGTTGGTGGGAATACAGTGAATGGGATTGAAAGCATGACAGCAAGCAGCCATTCATCCGTCGCTCCAAAGAGAACAGCTTTTGAAAAACAAAGCAAAAGTCAAGGTAGAGGAGCTGAGTGGTGAACAGCAGCTGTATATATGACTTCTTTATAAAGCATGCAGAGTATGCCTGAGGATATAATCACAGTCATGTGTCTGCAGTATTAGCCTCAGTGTGAAAAGCTCAGCCAACAAGACTCCGTACATGGAAGAGGTGACACTGCAATAATCCACAGCCAGGAAGTACACAGAGGTTGTGTACATACAGCGGTGTGTCATCTGTAAATGTCTGCTTAAGTGGGTTATAACTTTAGAAAACGTGAAGGCAATTTGTCACCAGCAGAAACCACATCCCTGTTACAACCTGCCGCGGGAAACAGGAAGAAAAAAACCTGCAATGCAGACAGGATGGATTGGACCGTTTGGAAATGTAAAATGTCAACTGTCAAATTTCCCGGTGTTCAATTTGATTGCAATGAAATAGGGTTACAGTTCAGCAGACAATGTCTGATGGGATATATTCATCATTATTGGGTAATTGCAAGAAGCTACCATGTGCTCAGGCAGAGAAAGAGGGATTGAAAGAGGGAGAGGGGTTGAGAGGGAGGAGAAGGGGTGGAGAGTGTGAGAGGGAGATGGAGGTAGAGGAAAATAAAGAGGTACGGCCTAAAAACCATTAGAGGATTTGCTCCGGTGCAACTATTCACAAACGTGTGAAAATGTGACATTCTGAGAGGTATGCTCCATTATTGAAGCTCCGCAGCGACACAGTGCTAAACATGGGTTCAGTTGCTCCCTGACTGTGTCGTCATAGCAATGGAGGTGGGTTATTCAACTGTGCTCAACGGGAGTGATTCCACATTTTCAGAGACTACGATGTGGAAATGGTTTTATTTAGCCTTGACTTTCTTTCTGTAGCATGAGAAAAGCTTTTATTGTATACAGGGCCATTCAAATCCTCTCAAGCTATTTCCTAAAAGAGACTGCATTAAAGTAATACCTTAAAATATTTTACTTAATTACTTACTTTGCTGCTCTCTTAGCAAGAATCCTTTTTAAACAATTTGTAACCCTGATTCGATTTTTTGTTTCAACAAGATCTTTGCTGTGAAATAATAGTCCTGTGCTCAAGAAGGGATGCCGTTATGATTTAAGCTGCAGTTTGTATAAGAGTAAAATCAAAGGAGACTCGGAACTTGCAATTCCAATGTAATTATTAAAGCCTCAAAATGCAGAACATTTGGTGTTAATTGGTGATGTGGATCTATGGATGGCGATTGGTCGGTCCACTACTCTGGTCCATACGGTCATATCTGAAAGACTTCTGAATGGATGACCATTCCATTTCATCAATTGCCATCGGATGCAGTGACTTCATTTTATTGAAATATCATGACAACCATTGCAACAATTGCTGCAACATTGCTGCATATATCCAAGGTAAACAGCCCGGTTGACTCTATAGCCACCAGCCAGTCAAAGTTTTTACTCATTCAGTTAACTATCTCAACATCTACTCAAAGTATTGGCGCAGTATTATAAACAGCTTTCCATTATCTCCAGGTGATGTATCCAAATGACTTTGGGGATCCCCTGATTTTCATTGTGCATCATCAGCTGGCCAAAATGTACTTTGTCATGTATTTTGGTTTATGATCAACTACCATAAACAGTCCAATTAATAACACTTCCATCAGCCTCACTTTACTGGGTGTTTGAAGGGAAAATGTAACATACTAAACCAAAACTAGTGAACGGGATTAGTATTACAAATGTATTTGAATTAATTGGCTCTTAGCTCACTATGCTAAGTACTGCCTTTATGTGTTGCTTGTGCGGCTGTAGACCCCGAAATGGATAATGTTTTTTCTTTTAAATCTCCAGTAGGGTCCTTATTGTTCTGGTTAAAGTCTCAGTATCCTCCCTAAAGTTGGTATACGTTTTAGTGGCTATGCCTGAGCAGACAAATTAAAAGAGCTAACACTTACAGAACCACCAATGAAATAAAACGCAAATTACCACAAATGGTGACCATCTATAATTAAAAAGTAGTGTGAATTGTTCCTCAGTGTGCTACTTTGGGAGGTATAACTGTTAAACAAACAAAGACTAAACCTATTGTCGACATTTTCTACCATTTGACTTCCACTGGAAAACAACTAAATGTCAACACAATCCCTTTTCATACCCCAGTGAACACTGCATAATTGGAAACCGCACATACAAATGTTGTAGCGACTCCACTGCTAAAACATCTCACAAAAGAAGCCATTAACAGGTAATTCACAATTAGTTACCATGTGAACGTTCAGCTCCAGTGGGAGAGATTAGTCCAAGAAAAAGATGTTCCACGGCGAAACAAAGCATGTGACCCATCTGTGTTGCAGACAAGGGAAAGGGAGGGGGAGGGGGTTTAGCAGGTGTATTTACCCAGGAGGGGGCTCCAGGTAGGTGGGCGAGCAGGCAGGCATTTGACACCCATCTAACCACGTGAGACCTCAGAGGTTGACAGCTGTGCTGCACGCTGCATGAAAAGTCATTGCTTACCACAGAGAAGATGGACTGCAGGTGATGCAGCTGCTATTTTTAACCTGAGGCCTCCCTCCAGGACTGAGTGCAGCGTTTCAATTGTTGGTCTCTCTCTGCTGCTATAACTGCTGTATAGTCTCTTTGTATTCAGGGTTTTATTCCAAAATGAGCTATTCATTGCAAGGGAAGTGACACTTTTGTGCAAAACATTTGATCACCCAAATTAAATTAAATTACAGTGCTCAAGGGTCAGTCCTTGATTTAAAACATCTCTCATTGTATTGATACAGTAGATGTATTGTTAGATTAAATAATACAAATTAAATGGTATCACCATAACAATGCCATTACTTTAATCTGCCTCTTAACACACAAGTGCAGCAGCAGACCGCTTAGTATTGTTTCCAAAACTGGTTGTGTAAGGTCTATGATGCAGGTAATAATCATTTATAATGTAAGAAAGAAAAGACAGCAAAAGTTTGCACTTCAGAACTCTACATATATTATGTTGGCTGTCTGTAACTCTCTGTGTTGTTCACTGAAGATATCCCAGGAGCACAAAGCTGGTAGGTTGTGATCTCTGTCGCAACCATTGCGGGATATCCACCTTTTTTGACAGTGCCACCAGGCTTCTGCCATCGTGCCTTTGAATGTTATGACGCTGGGAAAAAAACGAGAGGCAGCTCTCTGCACGTTGTAATAAATGTTTCACAGAGCGTGTGAAGTTTGTACTTAACGAGTCAGTCGGCCCAGTTTCTGCTCCCGTGTGCTGCGACAGCGATATGTGCAATAGTGACGGGTGTCAGTGAGAGTAGAGCAGACGTGTTTTTCTATTTGGATGACATAAGCGGGGTGCATTGGTTATGCTGTGAAGTCTGGTTTAAAGTGATAACAGTGATTCTTCCAAAATGGTAAATGGACTGTACTTAAATAGCGCTTTATCAGGTCTTTACGACCCCTCCAAGCGCTTTACATTATGGGAATTAGTGTTTTTGGATCTTGACCTATAACTCTGTAGGGACTAACTTTCTTTCTGAAAATAACCTACATTTATGTCACTTAATTACTTAATACTCATTACATGAATAGAGTGTCCCTCTAAATTGTAATATTTATAATGGCAGGATCAATAATAAGAGTAAAGATAAAATAGCTTAGCATAAAGACTGGGAAAAAATGGGTTCACAGCAAGCTAGGCTCTGCATGGGTTAAAACAAAAATACACTCTGAGCTCAAACCTGACACATTATCTACTTGGTTTATTATGTACTGAAATAGAAACGTTAAAAAAGGGAGTTATGCCCCAAACTATATTGTGTAAAGTGCAAGACATGAACCGGTGGTTACTAATTTCCTTAACGTCACTTATAATTGATACATTAGACAGCTCGATCTGCATCCAATAGGGGGGCATGTCAGAAAAATGTGGTCTGTGGTAAAGCAGACAGAGGACATGTATCTGCACTCAGAGGGAAGTCTTTGCATGAACTGTGACAGCCTTTAACACACACAGCAGCATGCACGCATGCATCTTTTACCCTCCAACACATCAGGGGTCCGTGTAAATGCAGAGTCCTGGCAGAGCACAAACACAGCCCTCACACACAACCACACACACACATACTATACTGTAAGACTCTGAAGCCTCCTGAGGAAAAGGGCGTGTGAGGCGTCTTCCCCTTGTGAACAGGATGAGAGGCAGGGAGGTGGGAGCCGGGGCATTCGTCTCCTCAGGGCTCGCTCTGGGATTTCCTCCAGAGGACAGAATAGGAAAATACAACATTTTATAAATAGATTCTCCCTTCTCGAAATACAGATATGGCCTCAGCGGGAAGGTCTTGGGACGGACGGACAGGATTTGCATTGAATTTCCTGATTTCTGTGCTCCCCATGTGTTCTCTTTCATCCATGAGGAGCTTTGTCTCGCTTACTCTAACTGTTTTATTGTATTTTTCTTTGCCTCCCACCGGGAAACAAAACCATTAACAAAGCTTCTGGATACTTTGTAATTTGTTGATAGGGGGTTATTTTTGTATTATAGATTTGATAACAGCCTGTGGATGTTTGATGGCTGTAATATTTGTACACATTTGTCTGTGAATGTGTATGAGCATGTGTGTGAATGCATGGGTACCCTTACGTGTCGTTGTCCAGCAGGCTGGCTGTCTGAAAGGCTGAAACTCATTGTCCTCTCTCCCTCTCCCTCCCTCCCTCCCTCCCTCCCTCCCCCCACTGTGGCTCCTGCAGGGTGGAAAGGAGCCAGCCTGTCTGCCCGCCGTACAAACTACAGCTGGAAGAGTGTCTGTCCGCGGAGCAGGTGCCCACCCCAGAGCTCATACAGGGCTACGTCAAGAAGGTAGGGGCTGCTTTACAAATACCAAGCTGAAGGGTTCATCTGGCTATGCCTAGCTGGAAGAAGGGATGCAGTGAGGAAGGAAGAGAGCAAGAGATGAATAAAGATGCATAAACCAGCATCAAATACTCAGTCAGAGATCCAAGGCAGACATAAGTGCATGTGAATCCAAAAACCAGAATATAAACTCAGCCTGCTACCAAGGCTCCAATGAATTTGTTCAGCACGTCCCGCTGTGTTAAGGTTCAGAGAACACAATGTTTGTATGTTTACAGCTGTATTTTTGTGAATAAACCACATGGTTGCGAGCATGCGGCTGTCAGGCTGGAGGCTTTTAACTGCAGCCTGTCACAATGCGTTCAGGCAGTTGCCAGTGGAGAACATGAGGTTGGAGGAGTGACAATAAAAAAAAGATGTATTTTTTCCAACGTAATTACTGCTTCAAGCGATAACAAAGGAAACACAGGGGTGATGCTGATGTGTGTATTTCAGGAGTTGTCAGGTATAAATTAGTGGGAACTTTAAAACTTTGATTTTGATGCAGTTCCTCTAATATGAGTCATGTAAACAAGCTTCTACTACTACCACTTATTACACGACTTAGTTGAATACTCAATTCTGATTGTTCAATTCAGAACATGTGACACGTTGTTTATACAGTAGAACAGACCGCTGTCAAGGACTATAACGACCGTTGCTAAGGAGGATCAAGGGAGAGAAAGGAAAAAAAGGTTAAAAGACGGAGCGCTGGACGTCAGATACATGAGCAGAAGAAGGCAGACAGGAAGTGAACACTAACAGGAACACGGTAGGGGCTCTGAAGTGTTTAAGGACTTGTTAGTGGCTCAGATACTTAAAACAGACTTGGACAGTGCTGCCGTAAAGTTGTTGTTGTCGCAGTTCCAGCTATTTCTATTTTGTTTTACTTGCACTATTTTATTGTGTTGCACTGTTGGAGGAGCCGGTGACCTAAGCTTTTCATTGATATATCTACACTGTAGCTAATGTACACATGACAATAAAAGCCTTGAATCTTACATCTTGGTGCGCCATGGAACGGAGTATTTTTTACTTAGCGGAAGAAATACGATTATTTTTAAGTCCATAAAATAATTTCAATGAATATTTGGAGTCGAGTCGTTTGTTTGTTTAGTATCTGGCCGTTTAATAACCTTCAGGCTGATCAAGATCCCTCCACTTCGCGTCGGGCTCCCTGATCAGCCTGCCGGGTGTTATTTTCCCCATAATGACCGCCTTGCTGCACATTGTCCCTTACTTACTTTGACAGATAGTTTTGCAATGCTGCAGTTTACCATGAATCTTATTCAGGCAGTAAGCAATATACTAAAAGCTATGTTTCCATGGGGGTTCAAGGCTGATGCTGATTTGCAAACCAAATAGCTTAACATGTCTGTAGTTTCCATACTGTAAATGAAAGCAGCAAACAGGAGCAGGAATCACATCCACTCATCTGATAATGAATTGGCTCTCCAGCTGTTGTGAATGCGCTGCTTGAAATAGCACTTCAGATGATATATAGGAACACACCCTGGTCTTTTGTGAGCTGGTAATGCTGCGTCATCGTGATTCAAATCAACCCCCCTGCTTAATCTGTATATTACCGACCGTTGTAGGCCTTTGAAGTCTCGATCCTGAACCTTTCTGTACATTTTGCCCTTCGATTAGTCATGCAGCCGCAGTCCTGTAGGACCTCATTACTGTTGGTTATCATTTTAATCTTTTGAGCTGCTACAGGCTTGCTGAAGGAGGAGGTGGAGGAGGAGGCCATGCTAGAAATCTATTAAAAGGGAAGTGGACATGGATGAGTGGTAGGAGTGAGCAGAGAAGTCCATTCCCTTCATCTCTTTCTCTTACCTTTTCTTCTACTCATTGTCTCAATCCCTCGTCCTCTCTTTGCCTCATCTCCCCTCAATCTCTCTCTGGGCTTCTCATCTTGACCTTCAGACACCTCCTCCTGGTGCCACTTTAATAACTTACGGGGGGAAATAGGAAATGTGGTCTCAAGTCCAAATTGAAATGGGTTTTTCACTGGAGGCTGTTGATATTCTGGTGGCAGAATAAGGGGAAGCTGCTCCCAGAATATTTTTCATTAAGTTTGCACTCTGCATCTTTTCTGTTAATGGAGAGAAACGATGCGAGGAAAAGTTTCCTTTTTGACCTCAAAACCTCATTTTCTTGACCTGAGGTGGTCTTATGTACGCCATTACGATGTCTGTTCGTTTAGATTAAGAGGTTTAGAAGAAGGTTTTGATTTTGTCACATGAATTTATACTGCCCTTTTATTGTTCAGTTAGCTTGAAATTCATATATATAGTTATATAGAGTACAGTATAAAGTTATTGTATGGCAGTTCCATTATTCATCCAAGCTTTTCTCAATAAAATATTTTGTTGAATTTATAATCTCAAGACTAACAAAAATATATCCGGCTAGTTATTTACTCGTTTACATTGAATCAAATGGTCTCTTTTGACTCGGAGTTTACATATTTTGTGATTCATTCCCATGTGTCACATATATAATACAGTACTTTTGTGGTTTATCTGAAGTCTTTTATGATATTGGACTGTTGAAAAAATATGGAAAAGGAAATCTAATCTGATGGTTCTACTTTGTCAAACACAGGATTTGATAAAATTGTAATGATAATGGTACTAAAATAAATGCAATCATTACGCCGCACTGTGTGAATCTACTTTGCGATCAACTGCAGCAACATTAGACAGTCAGAGCCATTCATCTCGCTCTCTCTCTGACTGCCTGCATAACCATTAAATGAGATACAACAGTTTCCTTTTATCTCAGCAATTCCATTTCAACATATTGGTATGGGGAATATGATGTGGATGCACCCAGAGAGCGTTCACTGATATTAAACAATATGGCTGGAAACAATGTGACTGTTTTCCAATTTAATTTCATAGTGAATAACCTGCGATTTGATTTGATTCTCTCCCCTCACTGTGGCTCGAGACAGAGACGGGCACCGCCTTTGCTTGGGGGGTGGGGGGTGGCGTGTAGAGGGCTGCAGAAATGGAGAATGGCATCATTAACATTGTCTGACAGTTAGTTAAAGTTTCAATCTCGCTCTGTGGCAGAATCCCAATATTGACATAAAATGTCAGATGACAAAAAAAAGACAGAAAGAAAGCGGAGTGCTGGATTTGTGATGTGGCCCGTGCCTGATTAGGGTTGCGGCCGCTCCAATCTAATCAACAACTGAGTGATTGGAGAAGCTGCTGGAAAATAATCAGAGGGGGGTACAGTAACAAAAAAAACAAAGCTCCAACTGATGCAGATGACTATGACAAGTATTGTGGGGGAAAACAATTCATTTTCTAGATAAATATTCTCAAACTAAGTCTGAAAGTCTGGTTTCAGTTTGAGGTGTCTCGGGAAATAACTTGAATATGTTCTGCTTCATGCTGTTCTTATTTTGCATCCTGAATTTACATTTTAGGCATTTGAATAGCTAATGAATGCAAAAGCAGCTTCACAAACAAAATCTCAAATAGTACATGCATTTAAGTCAAGGGACGCAACTAATGAATTCATTGATTAGTCCGCCAATGACAAACATTCATTCAGATCATTAATGGTTTAGTCTGTACATTATAGAAACATATTGTGTCCATCACAGCCTCTGAGAGCACAATTTAACATCTTCAAAGAGCGTGGTTTGTCCAAAACCCATTATAATCAATTGACTATCAAACTGTACAGTATACTGTACATCCATCCACTAGTTGTTTCAGCTGAAATCAAGAATCACTGAATGCAAAGCAGCAGCAGTAGCATTTCTGGTTTGTTTTGTGTGCTTATCTCTCTGTACAGCACTTTGGTCTGAAGGTTTTAAAGTGCTATATAAATAAAGTTGGATTGGATTGGATTCACTACTTGCATCATCCTAACTTCAGTTTGTTGTTCATGCTTCCAACAGCAGATCCATGATGCTGCTGACCAGGGGGTGATGTTCGTAGGATTTGTCCAGGAACCGTATGGGGCCCCATGTACCAGGATCCGAGAACCAGACACCCCCTCCCTTTCCCTCCACTCCAGTCCCAGCTCGGTGCTCGGTTCTCTGGGCAGCTGCAGCCCTTCAAACCCCTCAAGCCCCAGAAACCATGCAGCACCTGGAGCTCAAGCTGACAAAGAGGGAAATGAGGAGGCTCCATGCGAGGATGGGGAAGCAGCAACGAGTGGGGAGAAGATTCAAAGTGAGAACACTGGGAACCATTCAGGGAGCGGGGTGGAGGGCAGTCAGGGCGAGGTCTCGTCTGTGGCGTCTCCAGTGTCAGAGGGAGATGTGGAGCACAGTGAGGAGCTGACGGAGGAGGAGTCGCCGTGTCACAATAATAACAAGGACGGTGGCGGAGAAGCCAAGGAGAGGCTGAGATACCGCCAACGGAGAGGAGACGGTAAGTGTCTCTGTGGTTGCCATCACACTCAAACTATAGAGGTAAATGATGTGTTAAGCAAGACATGTATGATTAGGATCATGAAACTCGAAACATTTATTATCACGTGAAAAGAGCGAGGTAACAGTAGATGAAGGATGTAATGAGGTATGTGTGGATTCTTTATTTATGTATGGGGTAATAGAAAGCCATGGAAACATGTAATGTGTAGCAATTACACTGAATTTTAGGGAATAATGATACTAAATATCAGACAAATATGATGAATATACCTACAATTACAAGGATATCTAAATACTGTATACAAGTAATACAGTTTTGTTTACCATTAAATCAGCACCATGAAAACAAAGGTTATTTTTCCTTCCCTTTTTACTATGCAAAAAGCCAATTGCACATATTTCTGTTGCACTTTTTAAAATGTCCCTTTTTCAGTGGACACCACAAATATACGTAGCAGTGATTGTACAGGGCATCAAACTGTCACGTTTTTCAATATGTGGCCATATAAAACCCAAAGCATTGGAATAGCTACATAAGACATGAGGTGACTAAATATGCTACATGTTATTTGGGGAAACAGATCTTTTAAAATAATATTAAACTAATCAGCCCAACAGGGGCTCTATAATTAAATGTCGACATTTAAAAACTTTACAAAGCATTTAAACTTTACAAGACTCTTGGGTCCAGATGACACAGACCTGCTGCACTGCTATCCCTACAAATTACACAGGAAGGCCCGATGAGGGATGATAATTAAAAGGTCAAACTGTGAAAGGCTAAAAATGATTTGGTTTTTGCTACACACACGTGAGCTCAGTCATCACATCATAGCGGAAGCAGTCTGGGGTTAAATCCCATATTAGGGGCATCCTTTGATAACTGTAGTCTCCCATTCACAACTATTTAAACTGACATCTTGTAATCTTTAGCCAATATCTGTCTAGTTATGTGTAGATTTTGTGTTTTGGTATCATTTGGAGCCATAGCTTTTGGCTGTTTAACTAAAGCACAGCGTGGCACTGTAGATCCCTCTTGAAACACTTGGCAACTGCGGAGGTGTCATTTCTTGCTTTTGCCTCAACAATGTGCTGCCTTGGGATATAATCCCTTATATCCGTTACACAAAAGGGAATCGTCTTATAGCTGTGATGCATACAAATTCACACTTAGCCGATGAAGCTTAATCTGTGAAATTCACCACAACAGTTTGTCGGGTTTTTCGGAAACTGCACATCTCGTGCGTGGTTACACCTCTCTGAGCCATTAAGGGTAGCTTCCTTTTCTGCGGGAACACTGCTGAAATTAGGTAAGGCGTTTATAGTTTGATTTATTTGAGCATTTTGGATGACAGATGGAGACACCCAACACCCATCACCTCCCTCCTACCGTCTCTCCTCCTCTCACCAAACCTATTTGTGATATGTGTCAGTGCAAGGTGCAAACTGTGCATCGGACACACATCCCATTGGGAGTGTTAACGTTTCTGTGTTTGTGTGCATATACTGTATATTTGTATGTACAGTGTAGAAAGCGATTAGGTTTAAAGCATCTAAGACTGTGTTGCATAATTCATTTACTCTTTGGTGTGCAGCTCACATACTTTGATTAAGTTTGTGTCTTTATGTATATGTGTGCAATAACACAACTTGGCATCACAGCAGACCACAGCCCACTGGTCCATCTGGGCCTCCCTACAGTGCATTTTGCAGCGAGATAATCCCCCACTGCCTCGTCCTCTACCTCCCTCAGCTTCACAGCTCTCTCTCTACCCCCACCTCCATTCCCCTGAATCCCTGCGACAACGCCAGCAGCACTGGTATAGCAGCCAGAAGGGGTGGTAGGGGACCCTGCCAAGCTCCCATGTCCCTCTCTACTAAGGCCCAGTCTGCCGCGAAGGCCCAAGAGTCTCAGCTACTGCTGGCTTGTCCTCGCTAATCCTCAGATCTCGAGGTGAACGCCATGCAAGTGTTGGCGATAGAGCTGGCGAAGTCTGAGGCTTATGATGGAAAGATGATCACCATCCCCGAGTCTGGAGCTAAGGATAGAAACTGAGCCTATAAGTTTAGAGACTCAAATGCTTGGAAGGTTTAAAGAAAAAGGGATTCTGGTGTAAGACAGAACGGAAAGTATAACACGGTAGTGACAGCTGTACTATTGTGTCGGGATAAGAGGAAATACAGCTAATTTGCATGAGCTAAACACGTGTTGTAGGGAATTAAATGCCACCTGGAATGTTTTTTATGAGCAAAATACATATTTTATTTATTTGCCAGCCTTACCCTTTCCCAGTGATTTCTGTGTACTACATGAAAGTCACATCATCAAAATGAAAAAAGAGAATATTAACAAGCCTATGCTTAATTACCTAAGATAAGATATCCGCTTCTCTGATTGGTTGAGTTTCTTGTCAATATGTTTGTTTATCAAAGCTACTAACAAAGATAACAAGCTTTAAGGGAAGATCATAAACTGAAGTCAAGATATTAAATGAAGAGCTTTATTGTAGGTGTAATCCTAATGAAGTTCAGTCTGAAATCATCTTGTCAATGTCCAGAGGGAGTCATTAGAGTGGCTCGGTTTTCCCCTGAGATCGTTGTTATCTCTGCTCTGATGGGATCAGTGTCCAGCTTCTCAGATTAAAGAAACAGACGTTGAATTGATGACATGTCATGTTTGAAAGCCACGCTGCTAAGATCTGTTACAGGGTTACTGCGGCTGACCACCGGCATCAGATAAGCCTTTGAAACCAAATGCCTTCACAACACTCATGCGCCCACATGCTTTTTACTTGGACTGCTAGCAACAACAAGTCCTATTGCTTCAGAGTTTATTCTGAATGGCTTAGATTATTTTAGTTAAACCTGTTGGTGTGTCTGTGTCTGCAATACGCAAGTATAGCTATAAATATCACATTATTGATGACGGTAAGATTTAACTTCCCTGTCCATATGAATTATCTGAAATATTAATAAGGTCAGTGACCAACACTGTTTCTGGCTATTACAAATGTGTTAGTTGATAAAACAACCAAGAAAACTAAAAAGACTGCAGTATCATTATAATATCCCCTCATCATCACAAATCAAATCTCTGTTTTGTTTCATTAATACAACAGTGTTTGCCCGTGTCATTAACACTGTAGCTTTAGGGGTTACATCTTGGTGAGACATTTTAAATATGTATGTGTGTTAAAAAGTTCCTTAAAGATAACAGATTACTTACTGTATGTTTCATATGTTGCATTCTGCACTGATTCTCTCCCATCTCAAGCTTGTCAGAGTCACAGTGAACATGCGACTGTGGGTCACTGCTTTAAGTCTTGGCTGGTTAATCAGAGCAAGGAAGTGATGAGCCACAATTCATTCATAAATTCTGAGCCTTCTCATTTCGTATGATACAATGTTTTATTGATGCTTTGCAGCGATGCAACAAGTCAATCACAGGCCACTCTAAAACAAAACAGCATGTATCTGAATGCGTTGACTTCTTATCAAGTCAGATTGCTAGGGGCTGTACCTGAATCAAGATTTGTAAAATACTGCAGCAAAAAAGGAAAGGGAGGAAGGGAAAAAAACAGGCAGTGGTTTGACTGACAAATGCTAGCCGACTCGAGTGCTTCTCAACTGATTATTTGAATCATACACGTTTAGAGGGCAGCCCTACAGATTTCTATCAAAATGATTTCTGAAATACTCAGGAATGCCGAGTGAAAGCACGGCTCCAGTTTGACTGTTATACCGGAGTCTAGAGTAATGAATATCAGCAAGACAGATTTTTTCATTGCTACCTAAAAATATCATAAAATAGTCCTCCGATTTGTTGGTATTACCCTTTACCGGTTTGCCCCGCATGCTGAAATTCCCCATAGGCAGTAGTTAATCCCTCTGATGCTTCAGTATACAGTATCTCCTGTGAACAGAGTGCAACTGAAAAGATGATTATACACCCAGAGTCTTAGAATAGGTTAGAAAATTAGCTACCTGCCCCTCCATCTGAATTAGAGTCGCCTCGGTGTCATAATCATAGCATAATTACACTTTAATGAAATATGATGCATGGAAAACTCTCATCTATTATACAGAAACACATCTTATATGGTGAGAAAAACAGGGCCTGAGCAGAATGTTTTCTTGCTGGTGGCTGTTATTTTATGTCAAGCTGTTTATAAATATAACAAAAATGTCCCATCAGCATCAATGTTATCATCATTCTCAAATATGGTTGGATGTTGTTACTCATCTAATTACACAGTGATTACACGGAGATGCAGATTTGCTGTATTTTTTAATCTGTGCTTATACATGACATTTTTTAAAAAGCTGTTTTATGACGTGCCTGAAGCTCACCGGCACAGAAAGAAATCATGAATCAAACCATTGTGATACATCATTATAGACTTGTGGACCTAAACTGTAAACCACTTTATACATTAAAGATCGCTACAAAATCTTTATACATTAAAGATCGCTACAAAATCTTTATACATTAAAGATCGCTACAAAATCTTTCACAGTGATGATGTTTTGGCAAGACGGAGGCATGTTAAATGGGAAGCCATTTTGGTGTTGTGTGTTGTCCAAGAATTGTTTGCCATGTTCTCTACGCTGTAACATAGGGACGGACAAAGGGAGCGTGTGTGAATATTCTGCATCGATTCAACTTTTCTCAAGAGTGACAAATTATAAGATCTGGGGAATTTTGGTGGCCAGCTGTCACATCATCATCAGTCAGACGAGCCAGACAAGAAATGCTTATAAATGATTCATTCTTCCTGGATGTCTGCCGGGCGGATGGACGGAAAGACCAAAGCGATTGGGCCATGATTCCCCCTACCACCACACGTCAACGTGTGTGTGTGTGTGTGTGTGTGTGTGTGTGTGTGTGTGTGTGTGTGTGTGTGTGTGTGTGTGTGTGTGTGTGTGTGTGTGTGTGTGTGTGTGTGTGTGTGTGTGTGTGTGTGTGTGTGTGTGTGTGTGTGTGTGTGTGTGTGTGTGTGTGTGTGTGTGTGTGTGTGTGTGTGTGTGTGTGTGTGTGTGTGTAGGTTGACGGGTGGGTGAAAGTGCCGCCCGTTCTGCTCGTCCATCTGGCTCACTTGTGGAATGACAGTCTGACATTTGTATTTGAAAGAAAGGGGAAAACATTAGCTGACTTAATTTAATTAGCTTTTGCCCAACATGGGACCTTGCTCACATCTCCCGTTTTTCAAAGGCAAGGCAGAACAAATATTTCACTCACTCACATCCCAACAAATACAACTCTATCACTTTGATTTACAATGATATGAGAGAGGAACAGTGACACGCATACAATTGGCAACTTTGGCAACTGTTTCCCCCTCATGAGAACCACTGCATTATGTATATTTCTGCTTGATGTAAACAACAGCTAGCTGGAGAGCTTATAATGCATTATTCAAGGTTATACTATAAATTAGCTCAGTCACAATGAAATGGTCCCTTTTAGGTTCTGCATCAGCAGAGTAAAATCACTGCTGGAAAACAAAAGGAATACGACGATTACTTGTAGCAGTAATATATTCAAATTGCTTTTGATTCACTTCCCGTCTGTTGTTTTAAAAGAACCAAGTGAAAAAAACGAGTAGCAGCCTTGGAAAAAGATGTTCAGGGTATTGTAAGTCCAGCTCAGGGCAACAAAAGGCCAGGTTGAACTTTTGTTCGTTTTATGATGTTTTTGTGTACCAATTTTAGTGTACTAAATTAAGGCAAGGCAAGTTTATTGATATAGCACTTTTCAACACAAGGCAATTCAAAGTGCTTTACAAAAAATGAAAGACATTAAGAAAATGGCATTTAAAATCACTCATTAAAAAGAAAAGCTAATAAAATGGAGTAAATGGAAATGCTGCTCTATTTTTCTAAGACCATTTTCTTAAGCTCATATCAGTTACCAAGGGTCCTTGCACAGGGTACATGACACATTTTCACAGGAAGAGAAAATCAAACTGGTTGGATACCAGAAAAGCACAACATGCGTGTGTTGCTGTTGACTAAGAATTCTGTGGCCAAGAAGCTTTTTGACTGTCCTCACATTGGCTGAGTTTGTTGGTTTGCTTCTCTCAAAGGAAATAAATGTCCTTCCAATTGGTCTTAAACATTTGGCTCAAAATGTGATCAGGATCTTAAAGTCACAACAAAGTAAGTTATCCCAAATCAACAGTAGTTAAAGTTTTAAAGAAGTGGTTCATAACTAAATACTGCAGAAGGTTGTTCTCATGGCAACAAAAGTAATATATTTCAAACCCAAACTCAGTCTCTCAGCCAACCGTTTACTGGGCCATTTCTTATATCTTCTGGCAGCTGGGGAGGGAAATTGCTCCTGAAGACGTTGCCAAATTGCACTTTGGATTGGGGCCAATGTACGGCAGTAATTCAATAATCATGTAGTAAAATGTGGGACTCCCACAGAGGTTACATCTGTATTGTCACAACCTTTACTGAGTAAAATCAATTTAAGACGTTTTATTTTCTGTTTTGTCTTAACAGGGGTGGAGCTGCTCGCTCTGTATAACCACCCGCCGATCAGAGAGGGCCAGGTGAAGTACTACACTGTCAAGGTGCCACTGCGAGTGCAAAACTGTGATGAGGGGGTCAAAGGCGTGGAGGCCAACTGGCTGGACCACATGACGCAGCACTTCAACAACGGAGCCTCATTGGTCGATGGATACTTCCACCTGGGCAATACAAATGGTAAGCCAGCATGACTCATTGTTACTGCAGAACAAAGACTTTTCAGAGGAAAAATATGTGGGACAAAATGTCTCAGGAGGAATACAACTTACTGCAATTTTTATTTCCACACATGCCGTGTTTAGGTTCCACCACACACACAATCAAGACACATTAGAATAAGAGTTTTGTAATGTGCAAATAAAACAAATAACACAATGTAGTTAAGTTAATATTTAAAGAGCCATAACCTTTGGTTTTGGTTTCTTACATTTTCTAGAATTGTTCCTCTACAGGTACTTTTCCATATCTTCCCAGATTTAGGTCACCATGAACTTTAGTACTGGCATTCATGTTTATGACAGATAAACTGCAACGCTATAGAGACATAAGCCTGTACACCGATAAATGCTCTGTTGCATTACAGTTGCTAAAAAGCTGAATGAAGCCAGGTAATGGCTAATACATTGCTAACGTTAAAAATGTGTGTTTCAAAATGGCTTTACATACAACCCCGACTGTGAGAGTTCAGCAACATGTTAGCACTCGTAATTTCTTTGAGTTTTAAGTTAACGAATATTAGAAAAATGCAATGCTGTATTTCAAATGAGTGGTTTTCACCAGTCGGCTGTGCAGCTGCTCGAGTATAGGATGCTGGAGATTATGGAGCTGTCTGGTACCCTTTCCTAAACTATTTCCCGTTTGGGTTTCCCTCTTCCATCAGACCCCTCTGTGCTTCTCTCTGACACTGGAGAAATCAGCCAGCCAGAGTAAACAAGAGTCATATTTCATTAATCTGGGAAACTGAACGCCTCAGCAACTCTGAAACATAGATAATTAACCTGATAACAAATTAGTGCCTCCTTGCATATTTTATGTCCTGAGAATAAAGTAATGAAGTGTATTATGATTCAATTTTATTCCGTCCTCTAACATGTTTTGCATTTTTCATGCGCTGCGAAGATATGAGTCTCTTGAACAATAAAATGACTGGCTAGGATTGAAAGCTGCATTATGAAACTGCCTCTGCCTTCCCCGACTTATACGACTGAACTCAGCCCTCAGCTTTAGCTCAGCCACTTTAGAAAACAGACAACTTTACAGAGGTGAATGCTGTACTTTGTAGATTGTTGGTCTCTTGTGAGTAGCTGGCAGTATGACATCAAAGCAGCATCCCGTTTGTTGTTAGCAGCTAATTACATCAAACAGCCGCTCCGCTTTCGAATCAGTATCCATTCTTGCCGTTTCCATATTTAGCAACTTCTTTGAGACGAGCTTCTGAATTCATGATGAGACGCTCGACACGATACAGGAGGCCATCTCAACCTCATAAACATCAAGGACATGTTTGACAGAAAAACAGCACACTAAAGGGAATGGACTGACTGACAGACTCACGCATGCAGTCAGATGGATGATCGTAGTGACAGCATTGTTTTGAGATACAGAGCAAACCAGCGCGCTTTAGCTTTCATCTACTGACGTACACACAGTCTAATAAGTGCACTGATTGTTTTTTTCGAAGACTGCCCTCCTTCTGCCCTATTATTTTTTTTATGAACTTTTATCCTGTTGGACTTGTATTGTTTTTAAACCATATATTCCTGAGTCAGGCAGGCGGAAGCACTGTTTCATAATAGATGATAATAGTCTTTCGGAGAGTCGGTCAGTCTACCACTTTGGTCCAGACGTAAACATCTCAATAGCTGTCATGCCATGAAATTCAGTGCTGGTATAAATTGTCTCAAAAGGGTGAATCCCAATGACCTTGGTCCTCCTCTGACATTTTGAATGCACCACCAGGGGGTTGACATTTGGGGTTTGGACTGGAATGTCTCACCATATTGGATGGATAGCCATGAAACTCAGTACAGATATTCATGTTGCCCTCAAGAGAAATTGTAATATCTTTGCTAATCAGATGAACACAGTTTGTATTGAGCCATCATAAGGTAAACATTGACAAAATACCTGCAAATCTCATGACAGAGTTATAATTACTGCCAAGTATAGGTTTACACATACTCAGTGGCGGCTGGTGGAAAATATCTTTGGTGGGGCTGTTGATATAGTGAGTAAAAAATAATTTTTTGGGAGAAATGACCCCTTAAATTAGGACTTCTGGTGATGTAATGGCGCGTTTCCACTGCAGCGCGGAGCTCGTTTTAAGCGTGCCGAGTCGTGCGGGCCCCGTTTTTGGTTGCGTTTCCACTTGGCCTAGTACCGGCTAGCGGGTCCTAATTCACAGTTTTTCTGGCCCAATAAAATCGTGGTTCTAGGGCCAGGAACAACCAGGCTGAGTCGGGCTGAGTATGCTAAACTAGAGAGAGAATCGCTGGCAAGGGGGCTACAACTACAACAAGATGAACATATTTGACCGTGATTTAATTGTAATACACGTTCCAAAATGATGCCGAAGTAACAGCATACTGATACCGGTTAGTAAAAACCATGAATTAATGCTTTGACAAGTCTGCAGACAGACGGCAGGCGAAAAACCTATTAAAATGCGTGTTTTCTGAATGGAGATTGGCTAAGCTAACGTTGTAAATGCTCCGACCGTCCACACTCACAACAACGGCCTATACAGACATAAATAAACCAGCGACTGTATTCTCCATGACACAGACAGTATGTGGTTTGTACTTGTTTAACTTTTGTCTATCTGATCAGATCGTATCTGTCCCCGGCTGTTTGAAGAGCAAGCATGGGAAACAAAAGACAGCATTTACCTGTTTGCATCCAGCTAGCCATGCCTTCCTGGTGTACCAGCTACGTGAGAAGCCTCGTTGATACGTTTTGTCTTTTTCACGAGCTTGCTGTGATATATACAAATCGGGTTGGTCCGGTCCAAGGTCTTTAAGCAACAGTTTATCTCCCAAACTTCTCCTTTCGAAAGGATTGGAGACGCTGATTGGCTGAAATTATGTTTCGGCATCATAGTTTACAGATAGCAACAGTCAGCTGCTGCTGCACTGGTTGAGGGCTCCTTTCTTACCGCCCAGACGAGAGAGGGTAATGACCATAGACTGTATATATAAAAGGTACATCAGGAAACATGTGACTTATCAGTAACTTTAGACATCGTCGTAACACAATTTTAAATGAGATTTTATTGTAGATTATACATTTGACTGATACCAATATATATATAATATTTACCTTGTTTATTAAAAATAAAAATAAAAATAAATTATTTTTTTAAATATATATTTTTTTTGTATGTGGGAAGAGGTGGGGCGTTGCCCCTAGCGCCCCTATGGGCCGGCCGCCACTGCACATACTATGTTCTTTGGTGTAAAATGGTATAGTTATGCAGCCTTAGTTCTACTTTTTATTAAGCGCACATTTTAGCTAATGTTAGCATGCTAACTTTCTAACATAAAAGGATGAACATGGTAAACAGTAACCTGTTAAACGTCAGCATTTTTGCATCGTCAATGTGAGTATGTGCACATGCTGACGTGAGCATTTACCTCAAAGCACCACCTTCAAAGCTAAAGTGCAGCTTCACTGATCTGTTAACATGGCTGTAGACGTCCTGTCACCTGATGTGTTGCTTCACTTTTTATTATATTTGGGAGTTGGCAGGTACCATTTCAAACATCTAAAAAAAAGAGCCTCTGTAGTGCCTTGTTCACAGGAATATTGCCTCAAGGATAAGAGAGATCTAAAAGATGCAGATCCTTGTTTGAACCCCAGTCTCATATTAAAATCCTGCAAACCTGCCTGATGGGAACGTTTTAAGCAGTTGTAATGCTTTGTAATCTGAGATGGGTTATAAAATCCTTTGGGCATTTTTAAAATACAGATTTCGCATCAGTCATCAACCCATAAAACAAAGATATACTCTAGTCCATTGCTAAGAACGTTGCACTGTGATTCAACAACAGCCACTGAAATAAATGCATAAACAAATACCCATTATTGTGCTATTGTTATCAGAAGTCCATCATCATTACGTAGTTAATTGAAATTAATTTACCATGTAGCTCTGTGCATCTGATGCCTGAGTTCCAAATAGTCACATGATTTATAGTTAACGTGAAAGCACTCAAAGAGCTGCTTGCGATGCGTTATGGAAGGGAGAAGGGAGAATGTGATTGACTGGCCAATACCAACAAAAAAAACGGGCCATATTGTCTTATTAGTCGTGATATATCAGTAAATTAGCCTCATATAAAGTGGTTTATTGTCCTGAATTGTTTGCTGCTTCGGCTTAATTGTATCTTTCTGATCTTTATTCTCTCGGCCAGCCTAATTGGATTAGTTGGCAACATTAAGAGGATTTATTCACCTTTTGAAGACAGCAGATTTTAAGCCAATTGCATTTATTGCAAGGAGCATGAAACTGATACAAAATAAAATATGATTATTACTCTGATAATAGTACAATACATCTGAGTTTTGTTTTTGTTGTTTGCTTGCTGTTTGTTGACCTACAGCTCATAGATTGTTTTAGCATGTGCATCACTGTGCATGTTGCTGCTTGTCCTTTTTCTAAAAACTGTGTCTTTCGTTGCTCGTCGTTAAGGCTATTGTGCATGGTCCAGAGGGTGCACATTTAAAAATGAACCGTGTCCCCATGTTCCTTCTAAAGATGGGTTTCAGTGGTGAAGCTGAATGATGAAGCATTGTTTGCATACATGTGTATTTGTGTTTGCTTAGATGTTGTAAGTCCTTCTCTTATGTGGCAGGTTGGTTGCAGCGAGTGGAGATTGCGCCTGAGCCACAGGGTAGGATATTACAGCAATATTGAATTTACAGATCCTAAGCTGCACGCAGGCCCCAGTGTCATAAGACACGCATTAAACATTCATACAAACTGTAGCACTGTCTGCAAACACGCACAGCAGGCCTACATGCAGCCCCATATACTTTCTAAAAAGGTACACCCATTTTTTACACTAAAATACACACAAGTTCACACTGCATCCCTGGAGTTGGGAGCAGGGTGGGGGGTTGAGTTTATTTACTGAAAGACTGACAGTAATGGTGTTGACGGGGAGTTTGCTTTTGTTACCGGTATAGCTTAAGCTATCTCCAGAGCCACAATGAGGATTTGTAGCCCGGTTGTGAGACATTGAGCTATTCATATGCATGGCAGTCGGCCTTCACTGGTTTCTAAATGTGGGCAATGCCAATGGAGGGAGAAAAAAGGGGGGAGAGAGCAAGAGAGATACAGAGCATATGAAATGCTAATACTTGTTCTGTGAAAGAAATCTGAGAAGGTTGATGAGAGGGGGAATAAAAAAAAGCGATGTTTGTGAGTCTGTATATATTTATATGCATATCTACATAAATCACGCATTTGTGTGTAGTTGCATTTATGTGTATACAGGTTTTGAAATGACAGACAGGTTCTCCTAGCACTGGGAGTTAGAAACCATGCCGTTTGGTGTATTTGGGCACATGAGCAAACACACTCGGGTGGTTACACTTCTCATGAGCATGGAACATTGTCTTCCAAGTAAAGGTGTAAACCAGATCAACTGCAGGAACGGGCTAAACATGAGCATCCATTATCACACAAATGTGTTAAATAGAAAGGTAGATCATGATCACAGCTGTAGGATTTAATGAAGCCATGAAGTAATTTTCACTGTGGAGTGAAAAGGTGCCATTTATATATTGGGTTCACTTATGAGCACCGGGATAATCATTACACATCAGTAGCTCAGCAGGCACACGTCCAACAAAAGGTGTTAATATCTCTGTTGATAATCAGACCCACAGATGTTACTAGTCCTGAAGTTCCACTTTGTATTTATTCTTTTTCTTTTGAACTGAAAGACAATCTTCTAGTAAGGAGATTACGCTTTAGAGAAGAAAAATATACTTGTACATGTAAATATTTAAAAACTTCAATGCTTGAGTCCCAGTGCATGTGCTTTCGAGGTTCACCCTCAACCTCAGTGTGCTTTGGCCTGTGCACATGGCTGCACTCATAGTGTAATAACATTTCAGCTGTAACTAAGTATATTAATGAATATTAAAACATATTAAAATGCTTGCCCAGCTGGAGTTTGCCAACCCTGTGTATTAAGAAAAAAGCAAACAAATTATACATTACCGATCATCTTTTCCTTCTATACCAGCTAAAGTCTGCCCGGTAACCCGCAGGTACCACCTGCCAACCGCTAAACCTTTGGCTCTGCCACATCCAATACAAACACACAGATACACGTTAGACATCCTGGTCTCCTTTTCTCTCTGTCCCTGCATCTGGATGTCCACTCACCCAGTTTGAAATATAGATAAGCTGTCAGCAGCCTGTCTCAAGCTCTCTCAAGCAGTGCCTGGCACACATGTTTAAATCATGTCAGCAGACATGACCTTGGGCAGGGTCACTTTCCGGCTTCGGCAGCATGCAGGCATCTCGACTTAAAAACACATACAGTGAATCGTGAGAGCGCATGGACATAATTATTTGTTTTGTTTTTGACACTCAAAAGATATATTTTGTCATTTCCATGGCCAAAAACACAAAGCACTAGAAAGATTGCCACAAAGAATATTATAAAATATCAGTTGAGCAGTCCTTTTGTGTCCTTTTGTATTCTTATCTTTACAGTACAATTCCCAACTACAAAAAGTGTGGTATAGTAACACAAACTAAATGGTTATTAAAAGAACCATCTCAGTGTTTTTGCAAGTTTCTATTAGCTTCCGTTTGGATGATCAATGAATCATTCAAGTCATTTTTCTAGAATGTGATTTAATCGTAGGTTTGTCACCTCAAGCTTTTGAAAAACCAGATCATTTTCATTGTTCTGATGTTTCAAAGATGTAACTGATCATTTGATCATGCAAATAATTATTAGTTGTAACCCTGGCTGTTTTAACATGTTATTCTGAGGCCAGTGACTTTGCAGCAGTAGGTGATGCACACTTAAACCCAGCTGGACGAGAACAACTTCCAATATACTTTCTCTGCTATTTCCATGACCATGAATATTAGGAACACACAGATTACAAACGTACTTGATATGTGCAGCCAGAGATACATTCGACATCCAAACACCCACACACTAAAGACTGTCACCAACGCAACACTTTAAGTTTCAGTCTCTGTGTGTCAGCACTGTGGTTGATCCTCTCTTCTGTCATTTGAGTGCTGATTTCAGCTGCTGGGTGTCACTAGCTGTCACCCTGCAACTCCAGCTATCTGGCTCCCCCCTTCCATTTGCTTCTGTGTCCTTCATTCCCAATGCTGTCGCTCCCTGTTTTTAGAGCGACTTTATTTGCATGCTCTGCCCTGCGACCTTGAGTGTGTGAGTCACGGGGGATGGAGAGCAATTTTACTGAGGGCGCACAGTGGTTTTTGCAAGTGTAAACAACTTATTCTCAGTCGGCCCGCTGGCTGCTCGACTCAGCTCTCAGTCAATAGGCGCAAGATAATGTTTATTCGTGCACGCAACCGGTGCATTCCCCTGACGCACTCAACGCCCCCAGCAACCAACTCCTTCTCATCCACTTCCCTCCTTTTCCCTCATTCTTTCTCCTCCGCTCAGCCTCTGTCTGCATTATCACCAGAGACAGGCTGCTCCCTCTAGAGCAGCGAGACAGAAACCCTGTGTCGATCTCACCTGAATGATCCCTGTGGCGCCGACACAGAACCAATGGTGGGCCTCACATTTTCCGTAAAGGCTTCTTTCCAATTATATGCCACGGGCTGAGGAATGAGAGGGAGACGCATTGGACTGCAGGAGGAAGGGGCCGATGGAGGGAGTGGAGGAAGAAAAAGGGCAAGCGGGTGGTTGGGGTGAACAACGACAATGTCTGTATTTGAGAGAGTAGGTGTCTGAGAGATGTCTTCAATTGGGCGTGCACGGGTCCCAAATAGGTTTTCAGGGAGGGGAAATAAAAAGGGGCCCGTCGTCTCTCCTACCGTCGTCTCTCCTACCGTCTTGCTCACTCCCTTCTTCCCTTTCCACCTTTCCCCTCGCTCTCTCCACAGGCGGAGTCTCCAGCTGCCTCTCATCCCCCTGTTATTAGGGTCCAGTAATGAAATGTGGAGTGTCTCGTATTGGTGCCTGGGCCCCGGCAAACTGCATTAGTGTGTAAATGGTGTGGGAGTAATGAGAAAGCACTCAGAACAGCCAGGAACACTGGACCACGGTTTTGTGTCCGTGCCTGTGTGTGTGTGTGTCCGTGTCCGTGTCTGTGTGTCCGTGTGTGTGTGTGTGTGTGTGTGTGTGTGTGTGTGTGTGTGTGTGTGTGTGTGTGTGTGTGTGTGTGTGTGTGTGTGTGTGTGTGTGTGTGTGTGTGTGTGTGCGCGCGCATGTGCGTGCGTGTGCATCAAATGAATAACAAGAGACGTTGGGTGGAGTGGTGTCCCGGCTCATGGGGGCCAGTGTGGTGTTTCTGTCTCGGATGCCAATCTTGCGATTGTTAGCTTCGAACAGAAGAGAAGCTTAGAAAATCTATTTTGTCAGGAGCACACAATCTCACTAGTGGCCTAAAGCATCAACGTCAATGTCCTTATGTGGCTAACTTAATTCAAGCCTTTTTAAGGTGAGTTATGCAGGCTTAGCAAAAGGATTTATGCTTTAAAGCCTTACGGACAGACTTCATTAAATCAGTGGCTACGTTTGCTATCGCTAAATAATTTTTTTAAGGCGTTGACTCTCAGTCCTGCTCCTCTCGATCCTATCAGCTATAGCATTCACCTTGTTTCCCAGCTGTAATTAGCCTTTGTTTAGCTGTCAAGCATGGTAACCAGCAGGGCTCTGAAAACCACTGATGAAGAGCATAATGTCTCTTCTTCTTTACCATCCCAGAAGGGGAATACCTACTCCTTTTTTTACACTGTCTCCTTGCATAATGTATAAGTGCACATTGCTCATACAAATGGGCCACACTATGGCTTTGTAATAAAGGGTTGTGTGTGAATGTGAGTTATTTCATTCCATTTCCTCTGGCCTGAAGGGCCTAAAGAGATACAAGACAGACACGCTCCATCCAGTAAATACTCTTTTCACGGATTGATTATTTTTTTCTTTGTCTCTGCAGATATGCTGCCTAAGTCTGTGGAAAGTGTCTTCATTTTCCAGGAGGCGTGCGAGAGCGACCCAAACTCGACCACACCGACATTTGATGCCATCGTGGTGGAGCAGTGGACCGTCATTAACGTGAGTGGAGAACGTTTCTCTTCCTTAAAGTGTCACAGGGCTTGTGCTTTTGTTTTAAAAGGTTGCATAAGATATTGCTGCTAACCAAATTAATGTTTCCAAGCTATCCATTACTAAGCAGCTTAATATCCATGGAACAAAATATCCAAATTAAATAGTGCACGATATGTTTCAGTAAATGCATGCATTGACTTATTTGGATGAAAGGGAGGAAAGAAAAATAAGGAGTGTTAACACTGAATGGTTTGATGTAAATGAATAGTTAGGCTGTGCCCTTGCAGTCACGATATCTCAACAAAATGAACAAGAGCATGCAGATTTTGAAATGACGAGTCAAACAGCACTCTTCACCATATCAAACAAAAAATGAGGGAATATATTTGAGGGAAATTAAGGTTTATACCTCAAACAGAGAGGCAGGGGATTAGTACATCGATACCAAGAGCCATTGAAGGTGTTATGAAGTTTTGTAGTAGGCTTTTTCTTCAATTCATCACCTTTTAAAATCATATTGATATCGTAGCATTTAACAATATATGAAATCCACATTGACCAGGCCTGTTTAGGGAACAAAGCATCTGAAAAAGCCTGATCCTCTGGAGTTGAAATCAGTTGTCACTCAGATATTGTGCCCTACACCCCCTCCTCACACTACAGCCAACCTTTCCCCCAACAACCCCAAAGGCAAATCTGACAAATCTCAATTTATGGGACATATGTCACGATCGCTTGTCTTATCAGGAGCAAACAAGCTCTTATCTGCCCACCGATTAGCGTCTCCCCTCAGCACAAGTTCCAAGTTGAAAATGTATTTCTGCCCAGAGTTGAAGGGTTTGCAGCCATTTCTTTGCCTTTCATCTGTATGTGTGTGACAGTGTGTATACATGTTTGTGCATGCAGCTGTATGTGCCTGTGTGGGTGAGTTTGGTGTTGTTGGTCTGTATGTGTTTGCCGATGCTATCTCTGTAATTGAATTTAGACTTTATGCGGCCTCTGGCTGTCCAAGTGTGAAAGGAGACTTTTGTCGCCCAAATGTTGCTCTCTGATTGTCCAGCCCAGTGCTGATGGCCACATATGCCAATAAAAAGACTTCAATGGCCGTGTGTCGGCAGCAGAGCCTCCCCTCCTCTGAGATGAATTGTAATACTGTTACAGCTTAATGGATTTCAAGGCTTCCTCAGAATAGTCAACAGTGAACAACACCGAACCTAAACCCAGTGTTCCAGGAGATCCAATCAACTCTTCCACTGGGAGTTTATCAGAAACTGTTTCACCAGAGCAATCTGCACCATGCCAAATCAGATTGACAACCCACTCTTTCACAAAGGGCGATCAGGGCATCACATCATCCCCAGTCATTGTGATGACTGCCTAAAATGGATATGCAAAGTGTCCTGACAGCTCATTATTGTCTCAGTGCCAGGATAATTACAATGAAAAATAAGACAGGATATTGATTGTGGGTAAGGGTTTATTCTTCTTCTTTATATACGTCATTTGCTTTTCCCCCTAGTGCTTATTGTTTTATTTTTCCAAACGTCTGACAGGCGATTGGATGAATGAAGCTCAGAGAAGGAGAGGAACACAAGCCGTTTCACCGAGGGCAAGCAATCATTTATATTGTCGTCAAGTGGGAGTGTATCATCTCTGTGATGGCGTCTGTTCATCACTGAAGGATAACGTTTTGTTTTTGTATTGTTCCATTTATAAATGAGTAATGACTAATCAGAGGATTTGCATGTGAAAAAGCTTTTGAGTTTCTAATGGCATCAGATCTACAGGTGTTCACAAAACAGCAGAGTGGTGATGAGATGCAGCATATCAGATTACTACTGAATATGGATGCGTATGACTATTTATAATACTGATTTCTAAAGTTATTCAACTTTTCAATGAGATTATTTTACATAATATGTGACATGTGGAAGCTAGATTAGTTGTGCTGTGTCATGAAAAGGAATTTAACTCAATGTTTGATTTTTTTACGAGTTAGATAATTCATAACATTTTCCAAGTAACTTACCCTACAAAGGTTAACAAAGACTGTCTGTACTATACTTCAGGGTTTCCCACACATAGACTTGGACGGGCCGCCCAGGTATATTAATGGCCGCCAAAGTATATTTCGCGACCCATTTAGGTTAGGGATGCACGATATTGTTTTTTTTAAACCGATACCGATAACTTCCTGCTTCTCAAGACCGATACCGATACCCGATAATAATATAATATATATATATATATTAAATGTACCTGTAGTTTTTGCACACCTGGTGGTAAAAAAAAGACTAGTAGTGAGCAAATGACATGAGCATTACTACTAAGAACAAAACAAAGCCAAGAACAGTTTTGACTCTTCAAAGCCTTTTTCAAAAGCCTCGTCGATAGGTAAAAGCCCCGGTGCCTTTGCAGCTGGCTTTGGATTCGCCGCTAGTTTAGCAGCGCAGGCGTCTTCTTCGTACGCTTTTAACACACCATCGTAGCGATGGCGATGTTTCAGGTGACTAATCAGGTTGGAAGTATTATAGCTCGTTGCCTTTTTCCCTCCTCGTGGAACTTCTGCATTGCATTTGTTAATACAAATAGCAAGCGAACTATCTAACTCTGAAACTTTGAAATAGTCCCATACTACCGGCGACATGTTTGTTTACTGTCCTGGCTTCACGGCAGCACACCATTTACGTCACAGCCAGGCATGAGTTAGGGAGCGCTGGATTTGTGAAAAACTCCCCTCTTCCTAAACCACTAATACCACAGTACTGGCAAAACGGGAGGAGCCGAGAGAAAAACAAGCGCCCCTCATCCCAATCCACCCACACTGCAGTATTTTTTTCTTTTTTTTTACCCAAAAAATATATTGTATACTATCGGGGCTATTAATACTGTTATCGGGTTTATCGGGATGACGTCATAATTCCTATCGGGCCGATAATTATCGTGCACCACTAATATAGGTTTTTTCTTTTTCTTTTTTTTGCGATCGATTAACTTGTGGACAATGATCCCTCGCTCTATGCCTCCTGTACCCAGGCCCGGACTGGTCATCGGGAGGACCGGGGGGTTTCCCGATGGCCTGGCCTGTTAAGTGGCCTGCCTCACACAGGGTGACTGGCTGTCTACATGATGTGGCCTGCCGACATGGCCACTGTCATACAGATCACAAATCAAAGCCCTTGATTGGTCTCTGTGTGTCATTTGACGGGGTAATGATTAGTAAAATATGCATGAATAAAAAAAAATGTTTTAACTAGGTGAAAAAAGGTAAGATACACTTTTAAAACTTGTTGAGAGCTAAAACTAGTCTTTGCTGCTGCCTCAAAGAGGAGCAGGAGGGAGAGGAGGGAGACAGGAGAGGCTGATTCAGGAGCACAGACACACTCACAACTATAAATGAACCAAAAACAAATAAATAAACACGTTTCAGTGTTTTTTCATATTGGACATGGTATGTTATTGGTTATGGCCATGATTTTATGATTATTGAAATGTATACAGTTCTGTTTCATATAGGTGTTCCCATAGATCTAGTCTCTTTATTTTCCCCTCAAAGTGCACCAGATTGATGCATTTAACTCCAAAATAAAAAAATAAAAATCGTACCGGGGGGGCATGCCCCTGGACCCCCCTAGAGGACTTGAGGTCCACCCCCACTTAATATCACATGGACAGGTTCCTAAATACATTTTTTAAAGTTTTTAAATAGTAACCCCTGTCCATATGTTTATTTGTGGGGAGTAGATTTAAATGATAGGGCTATCACTATGGGCAGCAACGCTGTAAATATTGACAAATAAGTCCAGCAAAATGGCACAAAAAAAACTGGTAGTGGCCTGGCTGGGTGTATAATTTCTGGCCTGAATTATTGTCTCGGTCCGGCCCTGGCTGTACCTGTTCGCTCTGCCATCGCGTGAAAGGTCTGCTAACAAGCGACCAACAGAAAGGTTCATGTTAATGCTGCACGTCACGTCACATCACCCCCCACCCCCAAGTATATTTCAGATCTGTGGGAAACACTGTTTTTATTTATTATGCTACAAGTGACAAGTATTTCCTTAAAATAAGAAAACAGTGACATCGAAAAAAAGAAGCTTCCATAAGAAAATTGGTAATTTAGAGTCCAGTTTTAGTTTGTTTAGTTGTAGTGTGATAGGAGACAGACATTATTTTTTAAAGTATTAAAGTACAATGATAAAAAGCCAACAAATGTAAAATGAGTAAAAAAAACTGTGAGATATACAAACAACAGATAAAAATAACTACAAAAATGGTGTCAAACTGACAAACTAAGATGCAAGTTCTATGTAAATGATTTCTACTAAATGACAGCAGAGCACAGCCTGAAGATAAGCAGCACAACACAACAAAATGACGAGCAACAGAGACACTAAGTACAGGACGTTCAATTTGTAAAAAGCCTGCATATATTCTGCATAAAAATGCCATCAATGCCAAAGAGCCGATACAGACATTACATATAGCTTTATCATAAAATAACAACATATTTTTAACAGATGCTCTGAGAAAATCTGAAGATGCAGCATGTGCCTGAACATGACAACGACCTGAATAGGAGAAACCATATGGATGGTGGTGAAGTGCTCCAAATGAATAACTCATCGAGGGTCTCTGCTATGAAATGGCAATTAGGACCAGCTTCATATCTCTTGTGTCCTGTGGGAAAATCAATACAGGAGCTGCCGTGAAACTAATGTACTGAGAGCCCTCTTTCCTATGGCAGACTTTTAAAAGGAGTAATAAACAAACAAAACATGTCCTCCTTCAGACCTCAGCTACTGTAGGGTTGGTTGTTTGTTTGCCATGTGCTGCTGCCGCCGCTGCTGCAGGATACTTTATTTATCAGGAGGGACAACGTGCATTAGCAGGAAGGTGTTTTGTTTCAGTATTTATGTATCAAAAGGAGCAAAAACATCCATGTGCGTTTTATTAAATGATGAACTGATATTCACCTGAGCACAGCTGACGCCTGTGAGGATTCTGAT